TAGGCGCATGCGCCGCTGCGGACGCAGTGGCAACTCAGCGTCGTCGTCGTCGAGGGAGTGCGGGTCCTCATCGGCCTGCCCATGCTCTGGATCCACTGGTGGCTTCAAAAGCCCCAGGAAGTCTGATCCTGTTGCTACCTGGGTCTCCCCCCCCCGGCGGGTGCGCTTCCCGGATTTGTGGAGCTGGCTAACACCGCGGAGGATGCAGGCTGCAGGATGTGGGACCCAAGACTTGTTAGGCTTCTAGTGGACCCTTGTCTTTCTTTAAAGATATTTTTTTACTGAAAATCTGGCAGGTCCTATGGTCCAAAAATGAAAGATGTGTGGCACACTGGACAGCATGTAATGTGCATGAAAGATGACTTAATAGTCAAGTCTGAGACCGATAGTGGAAAGATATTCTATCTAGTAAATAAATGACCTATCTTGAAGAGAGAAGGAAAATAGGAAGGAGAGAAGGAAGTTGACACTCGGCATGGCAATATATTAGTTTCCAGCTGCTTATATAAGCAGCTGGAAACTCATTCCCATATACATGAAGGAAAAGAGGTTGGGCCTGGAGGGGAGGTTTGACACTAAGTTGCGAGGGACAAATGAAGGATGAGCAGAAACTGAGCATGAAGAAGATRAGAAAAGGCTACTGCTGTTTAGTGCAGGCACTTTCCAGGGGCCTTTTGACTTTTTTTTGGCCTAGGCTAGGTTACAAAGTGGTCTTGGCCTTCAGCCTGGTGCTTTGACAGCGTTTCAATACGAGCAACTGGTTGTGCACAACCACCTTCTCCATCAGAGGTTGGGACCCTTTGATTCAGAGCCAATTCAGAAGATAGTTCTGAATCAGAAGGGTGTTCTCCTTCAGAACTTTGCACCTTTGCACTGGTAGGTTCTGAATCAGACCACCTTATCCTCTGAATCAGATCCAGATCAGAACAAAGATCTGAATAAGAAGCTTAAAAGATCTGAATCAGAGCAGTCAGAACCCCAGTCAGATCTTGTCACACTTTCCGACGGTACAATCTGAAGTTCCTCTGTGTATAAGGAAGCCAGGAATTCCCGGCAACAACGGTACGGACTCTCTGCTGAGGAAACACATGAGGATGCGACATCATCATAATTTTCATGATGAGCGGGAAGCTCTCAAAAAATCATGACACGCATTGCGGAACCTAATTGTTCACTGTCACACATCAATACAATCATGTGTTTGTGACGGACAAAACAGAATGGCATGCTCTTTGTGAAGCTCCCCCATGCAAACGGCCCATAGATCTTACTGTTTTTGAGTAGAATGCATATGTGTCGTCCTGGCCTACCCAGTACATCCCTCCCCCCTGAAAATTTGGCTATTCTCCCGAACAAAATTGCTTGGCAGCCCTGCAGTGTCAGAGGGCGTGAAAGGTGGCTGGTGGTAACCTTTTGCAGCCTGTTCATGGCCAGAGTTAGAAAGCCAGCCATTCGGCTGGATCCATGGATCCACCTTGAAAAGTAGCATGTTGTCCAAAGACATAATTTCCTCCCAGCAACCAGATTTTGGTGGCCTGAACCAACTGGTACAACCAAATTTTGGGAGCAAAGATTTAGAGCAAAACATTTGGAGCGTATACATAACGGGAGCTCTTTACGCGAGTCCGAATTTAGCCGTGCCTAATATTGATGTTGGAAATTAATATAAAAAAGATTTTTTTTGAACTTGCCGAAAATTTCTGTGGCTGTCAAGTCGAGTCATACAGTTTTGTACGACTTAACGTGCAAAATATTACAGAAGCTAATGCAGGTTCAACAGGAAATCCCTTGGATAAGAACCGTGTAGATGCGAATCCTGTCCGTGGTAAAATTTATCACATGAAGACGCCTATGCCAGTGGTTCGCGAGACTTAGGAAGACCTAATGCAGCGCCGGCAATTACAAATTGGTATTTATTGGCGGAGATGTGAACAAAATTGGGATTATTTTCCCGCAGGGGGATATGGGTCATCCATTCAAGCATCCGGTACCAGCCAATCATTTTAAGAAATGTTTTGATGAAAGTAGGGTTTACATGCAGCCCGGTCAGATGAAGTCGTTCACGTTGAAGTTTAAATGCGATGGCAAGGTGAAGGATTTGATCACAGGTACAAGCGAGGCAATAAATCCGTCACCGCAAGGGCAGAAGGATGGATTTGGTACGTGCAATCTGATAGGATTGGAGAAGATTATGCGCACCGGCGGTGATGTGATCACGCTGAATTGGAACCCGCAATACAATCATGGAGCGGTGGTGAAGAAAATTGTGAGGCCTTTTATGCCAGAGGGTTTTAGCACGACGGACACCACAAGTGCATAAATTGAAAATGAAGAAGAAGAATGTATTGTGGTATATTTGATTTGGTTGGTAAATGAGACAACGGTTGCGTAATGAGTTGTAGAGAACTCTCCAAGGACATGAGACAGAAGGCAGCGCAGGCCGCAGCGAGGAGCCAAAAGGCACCGCAGCGTCCGCGGCCGAGTGAAGCCCAAAAATCAACCCTTTGATAGGAATACATAGACAAAAAGATAGATAGATAGATAAATAGATAGATAGATAAATAGATAGATAGATAAATAGATAGATAGATAGATAGATAGATAGATAGATAGATAGATAGATAGATAGATAGATAGATAGATAGATAGATAGATAGATAGATAGATAGATA